GAACTATGGTCCATGGCAAGATTAGTATATCTGTGAATGTGATGTTATATACAGAAGTATATAGAAACTGAAGAGTGCATTTATCTACTCCACAACTATAAACATATATTAGAACAGAATTATCCACATCTCGTATCTAAGAGAGGTGTGATTCATCTACAGGACAGATATTCATTCAAATATTGTGTGAGACTATGAGATCCTTCACCGTTACTGAGTAAGATTGTGCAGTCTTGTACAGTAACTTTTCATCTAATGTAACACAATATAATATGACATCCTGATGGAATATTGAGTGGAATACATTTATGATCTACAGACATCATTGGAAACTGGTTCGGGGCAAATGGAGTGATTTCACTGGCTATGTAAGTATATGAAAGGGTGAGCACAGGTCAATGTAATTATTAGCCAGCCTAACCTTTGCCCTTAAGGGGACCGTCCCTGAGGGGGGGGGGAGGGGGTTAAATTAAGATAGTTAGCGTATAGTATAGGTACATGGATGAGGAAACTACCAAACGAGTATTAATCGCCTGCTATGGCTCGTTGCCTTGCAGCCGGCGTGCGAGTCCCACAGCACCCGGAGAGGTACGTCGCTAATGAGCACCCAGGTACACCTATGTGGACTTTTGCTTGTGGCAATCGTGCATAAGGCATTTAATTATGACATTGCGCATAGATATGAGTTCGTGAATGTTCAAGGAACACTTTTACACCAATATCAGGAAAAAATTATATCACCGTGATTTATGACAAAATATTTTGTGAAATATATCTAAAAAAAAAATGTATGTTTTGTGTCCTTTTACACACGAAATATACTTTGATCGAGACTCCCTGGTAATATGTTTTAGTTTACGTGGTAATATATACGTATATCACATACGAAGCACTAATGTTTAAAAATAGCCTTATAAGGAAGGATTGAAATATTTCCGTTACATTTCGCTCAACAGTCGGTACATCACAGCAGGGGCCAATTTGAATTGATTTGAAATTGGTAGTTACCGTTGTAAAGACCAATTCAATACGAATGTTACCTAAATGTCGGATTTTTAAACTTCGGATGTATAAGCGAGATACAGATTATTTCATGTTGAAGATGATAGTACTCAGTAATACCTGCTCTGAAATAAAAACTATATGGAATTTTGAGCTCGGTTGTATGCGTAGTCTTCATCTGGCAGTCAAAAAGCTATTGCATCCGTTGCGTGCGTTCCCGATAAAAATGAATATGTTTAGACGTTACCGTAAGTCTTAGGCACCATAAATTGGCAAATATCCCACAACACCTAGGCATCTGCATGATTTTATGCACTTCTTGGTAAAGATAATGGGTGCAAATGGCTAATCATAAACTTTACACTTGTTCTCCTTTGCAATCTGTTAATATTGACAATTATCAAAGAAAATGGTATGAGAGGGATAACTAATATATCTTTTTATTTAGATATGAAAGTCAATGTAGGCCTACTAAATTATGATGATTAATCTTTTTAACTTTATGTGCGTGCGTTCACGTACATATGATCCTCCTCGAAAATTATAAACACCCAGTGACCATCCCCCCCCCCCTGAAAAAAGAAATCAAAAATAGTTCTCTATGTCAAGCTGTCCCCCGCCAAGAAAAAAAAAAAAAAAAAAAAAAAAAAAAAAAAAAAAAAAAAAACAATTCGGCCTTTTACATGGCTATAGGCTATAGTTGATCTAACACTAGTATTTTTGGGGGAATATTCTGTAAAGAGCTCTGATAGTTGGGATGTACCAAAGACATACCCAAAAAAAAAAAAAAAAAAAAAAAAAAAAAAAAAAAAAAAAAAAAAAAAAATCGACTTTTTGGGGGGTGCCCCCCACCCCCCCAATGGGGGAGCAAAGTTAAAATTTATATATATAACGGAGCGCAATTCTTTACTCTATAGCATGCAAAAAGAATCAATCAGTTATCTCTAACCGATATTTTTTTATGATGTATAGAGTAGGGAAAGGTGGCCATTTTCCGGGACGGTCCCCTTAACATGTCTTGCCTGCTCTGTACCTTATGTTCTTGAAGGCCTTGGTCTTCTGTTTTTCATTCTCAGTTTTGAAAAAGAGACAGAGGATGGACACCCAGCCTTTGTCTTCAAGGAGTGTTTCCTACTTGAGGAATCATCCTGATTCTCTGTTGCATTCCTCAAGCAAGGAAAGTGTAACTATAGATGTGGAGTAGATGTCACCTCTGAAACTAACAAACACCATCTGGTTCCTTTTACATACGGCCTTATATTTCTAGAGTTTTAATATTTTTCATAGATGAGTCATGATTTTATTGTATATTCTTTCATGCTCATGCTCCCACCAGGAATAATGACTGACTGGGGGGACATCAACTCTGATGACAGTGAACTGTTTGATTTGAAGTTGGATATTAACTTGTACATGATATTATGATTCCTTGCCTCCTCTTTGCAGAGTTATCATGTCTTGCTCTACTAATGCATTTCCTGCAGTTTTGTCATTTGTT